TTCGAGTTAAGAATGTAGCAGATTCTGCCATGCGGTGGCTTATACCTGTAATCCCAACACTTTGAGGCCAAGGCGGGCGGATCACTTGATTCTGGGAGATCGAGACCAGGCTGGGCAACATAATAAGACCTCATCTCTATAAAAAGTTTAAAAATTAAAAAGCAAAAATTAGCCGGGCATGGTGGCACACACCTGTAGTTCCATCTACTTGGCAGGCTGAGATAGGAGGATCATTTGAGCCCAGGAGATCAAGGTTGCAGTGGGCTGTGATCATGCCACTGCACTCCAGCCTGGACAACAGAGCGAGACCCTGTCTCAAAGCAACAACAACAAAAACAGTTTGAAGAATATCGCATTAAAAATATACCCACCAGGCAAGGTGGCTCATGCCTGTTCATCTCAGCACTTTGGGAGGCTGAGGTGGGAGGATCACTTGAAGCCAGGAGTTCAAGACCAGCCTGGGCAACATAGCAAGACTCCATCTCTACAAAAATAAACAAATAAATAGAGATCGATAGATGTAAGTAAATAAATAAATTAGCCAGGCTTAGTGGCACACACCTGTAGTCCCAGCTACTTGAGAGACTGAGTTAAGAAGATCACTTCAAGTTTAGGAGTTCAAGATTGCAGTGAGCCATGATCATGCCATTGCACTTGTAACCTGCGTGACAGAGCAAGACCCTGTTCATATATTTATTTATTTATTTATTATTTATTTTTGTATCTTCAAGGGGTACAAAAACCTTTAACTTCTGGTAGTTAAAGGAAGAAGACTTCTTGAGACAGTTCTTCACCCTGGTATTTATGCCAGCATGAATTAGAAAAGAAGTAGATCAGTGTTTTTTGTTTTCTCTTGAGACAGGGTCTTGCTTTGTCACACAGGTTGAAGTACAGTGGCACAATGATGGCTCTCCACAGCTTCAACTTCCTGAGCTCAAAGGATCCTCCCACCTCAGCCCCCCCGAGTAGCTGGGACTGCAGGCATGTGCCACCATGCCTGGCTAGTTTTTTTGTAGAGACAATGTCTGCACGTGACCTTGGCCTCACATTGAGATATATAGGTATATAGAAATATAAAAATATATATATATATATGTTTTTTTTTTTTTTTTTTAAGACAAAGTATCAGTTGGGCATGGTGGCTCATGCCTGTAATATATGGGAGGCTGAGGCAGGTGGATCACCTGAGATCAGGAGTTCAAGACTAGCCTGGCCAACATGGCGAAACCCCATCTCTGCTAAAAATACAAAAAATATTAGCCAGGCCTGGTGATGTGCACCTTTAATTCCAGCTACTCTAGAGGCTGAAGCAGGAGAATCACTTGAGCCCAAGAAGTGGAGATTGCAATGAGCCAAGCTCACACCACTACACTCCAGCCTGGGAAACATAGAGTGATACTGCGTCTCAAAAAAAAAAAAAAAAGAAGATGAAATCTCACTCTGTTGCCCAGTGTCCTCTGAAGTGCAATGGTGCAATCTTGGCTCACTGCAACCTTTGCCTCCCGGGTTCAAGCAATTCTCTTGCCTCAGGCTCCTGAGTAGCTGGGATTACAGGTGTGTGCCACCACACCTGGCTAATTTTTGTATTTTTAGTAGAGATGGGGTTTTACCATGTTGGCCAGGCTGGTCTCGAACTCCTGACCTTAAATGATCTGCCCACCTTGGCCTCCCAAAGTGCTGGGATTACAGGCATGAGTGAGCCACCACGTTTGGCCAGACATTGATTTTTAAAGCCCAGATCAGGGCCAGGCACAATGGGTCACATCTATATTCCCAGCACTTTGGGAGATTGAGGTGGGGAGGATCCCTTGAGCCCAGGAGTTTGAAGCCAGCCTGGGCAACATAGTGAAACCCCCATTTCTTTTAAAAACAAACAAAACATTTATAAAAAAGAAAACAATCAATGTACCTTATGCAAAGATATGTTTGCCTATTTTAAACTTGTATTATGTTAACTCAAGTTTCTGTTACTAATTTCCTGTTGTCTTGTCAGTGTTTGGAAACCCATAGAACCAGGCCTGTTCACTAGATATTTCTGCGTGTAGTGTTTTTCTATAATAACAAATATTGAATTATTTTACTGCAACTTTTCCAAATCTGGTTCTAATTTGTTTACCACTCATCTCTATCAGCCTTCATCCCTCCTAAACTAATGTGTTTTTGTCCTCATGAAAAGTTTTCTGTGTTTACAAATGAAGAATTTTCTGAGTGAAAATTAAGTGATAATTATTTTTCTAATCAAAATTGAACATTCTTCCCTTTTCAGGCAAATGTTTTTGTTGTTGTTGTATTTTTTTGGCTTCTAAGTAACAGCTGTCCTCTGGGCTGGCTGAGGCAGAGTACAAACGCCTTGTTCCAACTGTCCAGAGAGTTCTGGTTGGCAGAAGATGATAGAATAATGAACAGGTGCCTGTGGTCAGCACAGCCCAGCTTGCACATTATCTCAACCATGATAAAGTGGAGAAACACAGAAACTATGGCTACTCTTTATTTTCCTGCCTTTCACATCCCTTAGTTTTCTCCTTTGAAGAGGCAATTTAAGCACATCTTGATTCATGGAGAGGCCTAAAGATCCAAAGTATCTTAAAAAGTTGGGAGTAGTGGTAGATGCCTATAGTCCCAGCCACTCAGGAGGCTAAGGCAGGGGGATTGCTTCAGTCCAGGAGTTTGAGTTTATAGGAGCTACAGTCACGCCACTGCATGCCAACCTGGACAACTGAATGAGACCCTGTCTCTAAATAAATAAATAAAAGGTTTTTCTAAATGTTATCTTTCCTCAATAATTACACTTTATGTTTTTACATTAAGAAACACATCAAGACCGGGCACGGTGGCTCATGCCTGTAATCCCAGCACTTTGGGAGGCCAAGGAGGCAGATCACCTGAGGTCGGGCATTCAAGACCAGCCTGCCCAACATGGAGAAACCCTGTCTCTAAGAAAAATAGAAAATAAGCTGGGCATAGTGGTGCATGCCTGTAATTCCAGCTACTTGGGAGGCTGAGGCAGGAGAATGGCTTGAACCTGGGAGGCGGAGGTTGCAGTGAGCCAAGATTGCACCATTGCACTCCAGCTTGGGCAACAAGAGTGAAACTCCATCTCCAAAAAAAAAAGAAAGAAACACTCAATATATTGCAAAGGTGTAGGGTTGTTTTCCTGCATCAGAACTAATAATGAGTTAAGTTCATTTAGAAGTGCAGCAAACAGAACTGGACTTGCTCCTAGTTCTAGGAAAGTTAAGAGTGCTCCCTTCTGTCACCACTCTTTTCTCACTGCCCCTCTGCGCTGACTCAGGGGCTGCTGGAGTAACTAGTCTGAACTGTCAAGTGCAGGCAGAACTGCTCACACATAGTCATCCTGGAGCAGTAACCTGTCTTTCTTTGGCTCTGCCCATGTCACTGTTGTTAGTTCAGTGCCAGCACGAGAGGATTCAGAGTAAACCATCATTGAAAGAAAGTACAGGGAGAAAAATGTCAATCAAGGTACTGGTAGATACCTGGCAGCCATAAAACTTTCTCCTCACCCTCTGCAGTCAGGCTCTTTTGGAAGGCAGCTTCAGAGATTAGGAAAGGTTAGGGAACAACAGTAGCCTCTTTTAAAGGTTTATATTATGAGGCTTAGGAAGGAAACGTGAATGAGTTGGAGTTATTTAGCCTGGATGCGAGAACATGAAAAGGAGTGGAAATTTGTTTTCTTTGAATCTAAGAAGGGTTATTTTGGGAAGTGTGGCTACCAGCTATTCCCTCTTTCCATTGCGGGTAGGCCAAGAAGTACTGGGTTTCAGTTACAGTGGGTGAGATGGAAGTTAAACAACCTGTATTCAAGTGTTTTGAGTGCTGACAGAGTGCTGGTCACAGTGGATTAGCAGAAGGAAGAAGTGTGCCAGACATTGAGAAATATGGGCTCCAGAGCCAGCCAGCCTGGCTTTGAATCCTGGCTTCAACACTTAGTAGCATTGGAACCATGGACAAAGTACTATACCTCTAAGCCTCAGTCACCTCATCTGTAAAATGGGTGTAAAATACCTACTTCCTCATGGATTATTTTTAAGATTGAGTTAATATAGGTAAGGTGCTTTAAAAAGTGGCTGGTATATATTAATCACATTTATATGTGATAAAATAAATATTAGCATGAGCAGTAGAAAGGATCTTAAGGTAATTTGGGCCAGCATTTCATTGTACAGGTAAGGAGGCAGACATAAAGATAGAATCGAGATTAGAAGGCAATTCTGTAGACTTCTAGTCCAGGGTGGTTGCCACTAGTCCTAGCTGTTTTAGGAACCCATATTGCTTCAAAAGCATTTCTGTTTAGGTTCCCCTTCCTTCCCTCCTCCTGAGAGTCAGTATCTCTACAGTACAGACATATGTGTCCTCATTTAATCCCTTACAGCAGGCTATGAAGCAAATGCCACTATTACCCCATTTTTTTAAAGTGACATCTGGGGCTCAGAGATGTTTATTTAACTGCCCGAGGCTACACAGCTTCTGAGAAGTTGAGCCTGGACAAAACCCAGACCTCTGACTCCAGAGCCTGTGCTCTTAACCACACCACTGATTTTCCTCAGAAAGTTCCAGTGGAGTGCACATGTGCTAAATCAAACCATGGGAGCATTTGACAAAGGTAAGCTGTAGGAGCCACAGGGCCCAGGGAATCTGAGGGTATTTTGCAAACCCTTTTCAACCTATATCTGCTTTGTTTTTATTTTTATTTATTTTTTATTTGAGACAGAGTTTTGCTGTTGTTGCCCAGGTTAGAGTGTGCAGTGGTACAATCTTGACTCACTGCATCCTCTGCCTCCCAGGTTCAAGCAGTTCTCAGCCTCCCAAGTAGCTAGCATTACAGGCACGTGCCACCACACCCAGCTAATTTTTGTATTTTTTTTAAATCGAGACGAGGTTTCACCATGTTGGTCAGGCTGGTCTCAAACTCCTGATCTCAAGTGATCAGCCTCCCTTGGCCTCCCAAAGTGCTGGGATTGTAGGCATGAGCCACCATGCCCAGCCTGCTTTGTTTTTAGACAAAGTCTTTCTTATGTGTCTTCTGACACAGTGCAGTTATACACTAAAACAGGTTACCCAAAGAATCTCCCTGTTGAAGAGAGTGAAACTTGAGGGTCATAGAGCAGACCAAGAGAAGCCAGGACCAGAGCTCTTGTGAGATACAGACCACATGGAGGTTATCAGGGCTCCGGGCAAGGATGCTAATAGACTAAAGATGTCAGCTGTCAGAATCCCCACCTTGATCAGTGGTTCTTCACCATTAATCTCTGTCAGACCCTGATGACAGCCTTGGACTTTCCTCTCTCCGAGAAAATGTAAAGGCTCACACACCAAAAAGTATTTTTTTAAGTAGCTTCAAGGCTCATACTTTAAGGCCCAGCTTCACCTCTGTACTGGGCAGCGTAGTAATTGAGGTCACATTCTTGATCAAATGGCCTAGATTTAAATCCTCCTTTACTAGTTAGCTGTGTAACCTTGAGCAAGTTACTTGGTCTTGGGCCTCAAGTTCCCTCATTTGTAAAATGAGGATAATCAAAGCATTTGTTTAGGGTTGTTAGAATTAAGTAAGTTAATGTATGTGACATTCCTAGCACATACTCTATGGTAGTGTTTATAGTAGTATTCACTATTAATAGTAGTACTGCTGTCCTTGGACCTTAGCCCATTTAGTAAATGTTTATGGACAGAATGAATAATTCTAGTTGAGATGCCAACCCTGGGGCGTAGAGCATTCCAATCAGTGTGTCACAAACGGTCTATAGTTTTGCCAAGATATTGATCCACTCACCCCTCAGGGGTGCCAAAGTCCCAGTTGGTCGCTTCTGGCTTCAAGCAATGACATCTGGACATCTGCAATGTGAACCTCTGGCTTTAAGCAGCAGCATCTGCAATACAACATATGACTATCTGTCTCTCTAGGTCCCCTGACACGAAAACTATTTGGGTAGCACCAGTCGGGGATATCGGTTGGTAAGTCGTGAGACTCCAGTAGGCAGTCCAGATTATTCCAAGTCCAGGGAAATTTTGAGAATGGGTGACAGAGTCTTCACCACTGCACTGAGAGCAGAGGCTGTAGGCTTCCTGCAGGCTTCACAAGTGTGGGGGTCCACAGCTAGAGCAGGCTCCACACCACAGTAGGTACAGAGGATGTCCTCCCGGCAGGAAGCTTCAGTGCTTCCCACCTTGCACATGAGGGACCCAGGGAGTCACTCACAGGGTTTGTGGAGAGCCCACAGTATGAGGTGCTGAAGAAACCACTGTGACTCAGAAACCAGACTAGAGTCCAAAGCCTTGTGTAGGCAACAGACGTTATACACAGATAGTGATAAGTACTGAAGTAGGTTGAGCCCAGAGGTGTGAATGCTAGGAAAAGGTGGTGCCTAGGCTGTGGGATTTTATAACAGGACCCAGCCTTGTCTGCAAGATGGACTCTAAGGGCTATAGGAAACTATGGAAGGGTTTTAATCAAGGAAGTAGTATGTTTAGAGTTGTACTTTTTTTTTTTTCTTACAAATCCACTTTTATTTATTTACTTTTGATTAGTTTAAGTCCTTGAGGGGCACAGCATCACACAGATTCTGTATTCAATAGCCTTAGCAAGATTGCTTTGGAATTTAGCACAAACCATGCCACTGTTTCCATGAGCCTAAGTTACTTTTCCCAGGTTACGCTGGTTCTCTTCAGTTTGCCGTGAGCAGTCACTGTGTTGTTCTTTGCTTTGTACATACAAGTACATCTCTTGCCTAAGTAGAATTGTTTCATCTTGAGCATAAATACCTTCAATTTTAATAAAAGCTGTGTCCTCCCCTTGGTTCTGGAGGCCCCACTTATAGCTACCAAAAAATGACCCTGGACCACAGCCTTCCAAATGTATTTATCTGATTATTATTAATTTTGAGACAGGATCTTGCTCTATCACCCAAGCTGGAATTCAGTGGTATGATCATAGCTCACTGCAGCCTCAAACTCCTGGGGTCAGGCAATCCTCCCACCTCAGCCTCTTGTGTAGCTAGGACTACAGGCATATGCCGCTGCAATTGGCTAATTTTGTTTTTTGGTAGAGACGATGTCTTGCTGTGTTGCCCGGGTTGGTCTTGAACTCCTAGCCTCAGATGATCCTCCTGCCTCAGCCTCCCAAAGCACTGGGATTATAGGCATGAGCCCCATATTTGCCTTTTAGAAGTTCTGTTCTCAGCAGGCCTCTACAGTCTCCAAGATGGTGGGAAGAGAGCTGTACTTTTTTTTTAAGTTCAGCCTGACAGCATAAACATGAATGTTAGAACATGAATTGGAAGAGGCTGAGGCAGGAGGATTACTTGAGCCCAGGAGTTCAAGGTTACAGTGAACTGTGATGGAGCCACTGTACTGCAGCCTGGGTGACAGAGTGATACTTTGTCTCTAAAAAAGGAAAGAAAAGAAAATGAATTGGAAACAGACAAAAGTTTATCTGAGGACATAAGTTAGAAGGCTCTTTACAGTAGCCGGGAGGTGAGAGGTGATACTTGCCTGAAATAAATATCTGGACTTTTAAGGGAAAAGGATGACTCAAGCATGGTTCCACCCAATTCTGGGTGGAAGGCGATACCATCCCTGGGATAGGGCATACTGGAAGTAAAAAAAAAAAAAAATAGACCTGGAAGGCTGGGACACCTTGTGAGTTCTGCTGGGGACTTGTTCAATGTGTGGTACATGTGGGATGTTCCCCAAGGGTGGTTAACAAGGCCAGTGGGTAGATAGGTCCAAGTACAAGTGAGATGTTGGAGTAGGCAGAGAGAACTGTCAGCAGTGGGGTTGACTGCCTGCCTTCAGCAGGGCTCCTTCCTAAGGGGAGAAAGTTTAGAAGTGGGTTTTGATCACTGATTTCTTACTTTAAGACCAATTTATTTGGCATGCTTCTCTTTTATGCTCAACTTTTAGAATTCTTAGATATGTATATTTTGAGCCCTTTTCATAAAAACCAATACAGTTCACTACTTTGAAGAATTCATTTTTCTTCTTGGCTGGTCTTATTGACTCCTTCCCTCAGTGTCTTTGCAATAGGAGAAAGCTGGATAACTCATAATGTGATACTGTTCATTTTCTTAGATTTGTGACCCAGAAGGAAATCTCTGACCTCAGCTGTGGCTCTTGGTGCTGGCCAGAAGCCAACTTCATGTCTGAGTGCACGAGCAGCAGTTTGTCATGGAGAGCTTGGGGCTGCAGACGGTGACCCTTAGTGATGGGACGACAGCCTACGTCCAGCAAGCTGTCAAAGGTGAGTATTTCTGGGGACCTCAGGATCCCGCGCTGTCCCTCAGCCTCTGGGAAGGAGTGTCCACTTTTAAGAGTCCCACCTTGCCCTCCTGCCTGCTCACCCTTGCCCACCACCACAGCTTGCTCTGCATTAGAATCTCCTGTGGTGCTTGATGAAAAGAGAACTCTAAAATAAAATGCTGCAAGTCAGACAACCCCAGCCATAGGAACCAATACCTCTCAAAGACAGAATTCCTAATATATAATAAGTAGCTCATAAATATTTCTGGAATGAACACAGTGCTAGTTTGACTTCCTGCTTTTCAGATATTTCCTGTCACAGTTTTTTAGTGCCTTCTAGAAGCAGTTTATCAATCTTAATTCAAGCATATTCAAACATTCAAACTATCTATTAAGCATCTGCCATGTACAAGATGCTCTTCTAAGCCAGGCATAGTGGCTCACACCTATAATTCCAGCACTCAGGAGGCTGAGATGGAAGGATCACTTGATGCCGGGAGTTGGAGACCAGCCTAGGCAACATAGCAAGACTCCGTCTCTAAAAAAACTAATATAAATAATCTGGGTGCAGTAGCATGCATCTTTAGTCCCAGCTACTCAGGAGGCTAAGGCAGGGGGATCACTGAAAGCCAGGAGTTTGAAACTTCAGTGAACTGTAATTGCACCACTGTACACCAGCCTGGATGACAGAGCAAGATCCTATCTCTAAAAAAAAAAAAAAAAAAAAAGATACTCTCTCTGATTCAAGAGAGGAACACACAAGCAGAAATCTCATGTTCTAAACCCCACTATGGATTGCTAGAATTAAGAAATAGGGCACATAGTTAAATTTGAATTGGACATAAAAATGAATACCCTTGTAGTATATGTATGTCGCAAATATGTATACTATATACTAAGGACATACATATACCCCTTATAAGGGATAGACATACATAAACATGGGATTAAGCGGGGCTCAGTGGCATGCACCTGTGGTCTCAGCTACTTGGGAGGCTCAGATGGGAGGATCTCTTAAGGCCAGAAGTTTGAGGTCAGCCTAGACAACAGCAAGACCCCATCTCAAAAAAAGGGGAGGGGGTTAAATACTATAAAATACTAAATAATAGTAAGTTATTTAAAAAAAATGTATTATTTATCTGAAATTCAGATTTACCTTGGCATCCTGTATTTTATCTGGCAGTCCTACCCCCAACTCTCAGGGTACTTAAAATCAAGGTAGGTGTGGAGTCAGAATAAAGTGTTTTAGGGCAAGGCCTGCAGGCCAGGGACACTCTTCCTTTCTTGCTAGCATTCTCAGGCAGCCAGATAGCATGCGTGTCTTTCTTGGACAGCACTGGGCAAACACTGCCTTGTTCCTACTATTTATTTGGCCTTTTCTGGACTCCATGAGTGTCATTGTCATCATGAAGCATTGTCATTGCCCTCCTTCATTTCAACACACTATCAAAATATATTTCCACCCCTAGATTTACAGATAAGTTGTTTATTGATTTCATTTTAAGTTGTCTATTTTCTCATGATGACTAAGGATGCCCCTTAATCTCATCAGTAAGTTATTTCCATATGAAAGTGTGTGGGGGTCCCTTCTGGAAAGGTTTCTTGTCAAGAGCTGTCTGTGACATGTGGGTTCTTGTTGGCTTCATCCTTTTGAAAGTGCAACTTCTCAAGAATACTTTTGAAGCCTGAAACTCTGTTTGCTGACTTCCCATCCCAGGTCTTGCCCCTCCAGTGCAGTCTCAGCGGGTTGGAAGAACTTAGAACTCTAGCTAGGGCTGTGTTTACTCCTTGGACCCAGTTGTTCCCATGCCTCAGTGTTCCACTGAGAATTAATGGTCAGATGAATGAATAAAAAGCAAGTGAGCACACCTGACCTGAGAGAGCCACTCTTTCCTTATATCTTTCTTTCTTATATGTGGATCTCTTTGCCTCCCTACCTTCCCATTTCTTTCTTGTGTCAGTTTTCCTGGCTGTAATCTGCCTGCTCTGTGGTGTTGCAGGGTGTGTGTGCACACGCACATGTGCAAACACACACTCACTCCCAACAGATTTTCCTACTGCTCAGGGTAGAGCTGTCCTTCAGAGACCAGAACCACACTGTCCTGAATGGCTTCTCTGACTGGTAAGCTCCTCTGAAGCTTTTGACTGAGGCACTTTTGTCTCTGTCTGCCAGAAGCCCTAAAATTGTATGAGACTTATCTTTAGGATAAGTATAAAATGTATTATTCAAACCCAGCATTTTAAAAGTGGACGAATGAGCTATTAATAAATGCACTGAGACTGTTCCAGGCAAACTGGGGTGTATGGTCACTTCTCTATAATGGGATACGAGGCCCCTGTCAGTCAGCTGTTCTCCTCACTGCCTCTTTCTGTTGTAGTCTCTGGTTGTTTGAGGAAATAGTAGGCTAATTTTTTTCTTCAGACAACTCTTCTCAGGTACCTTGAAGCGGTACACACTCTGCTGGCAGTAGCTTGCCAATGCTTTCAGAACCCCAAGTACTGATGACCTTGCCAGGACTAAAATGAGGGTAGCCTACTGCTTGTGGGTGAGAGGGAAGAAAATGGTTTCTTCTTCTTTGTCTCCACCTTACCTGCCTTTGGTTGGTTGTAGGACTGTTAGTTACTGACCCCAAGAAGACTTAGTTTGGGAACAAGTTTGGGGATTCCTCTAAAGGGGAGATGTCAGCTGGAATTAACTGTCTTTCCCATGTAAGTGCTCAGGTTCCTAAACCTGAATCTTCTAAGGAAAAGACAAATCACTTGTCATTAACCTTTTTTTCTTTTTTCTTTCTTTTTTTTTTTTTTTTTTTTGAGATGGAGTCTCGCTCTGTCACCCAAGCTGGAGTGCAGTGGCGTGATCTCAGCTCACTGGAGTCTCCACCTCCCGGGTTCAAGTAGTTCTCCTGCTTCTGCCTCCTGAGTAGGTGGGACTATAGATGTGCACCACCACGCCTGGCTAATTTTTTTGTAGTTTGAGTAGAGACAGCGTTTTACCATGTTGGCTAAGTTGGCTTCAAACTTCTGACCTCAGATTATCTGTCTGCCTTGGCCTCTCAAAGTGCTGGGATTACAGGCGTGAGCCACCAAACCTAGCCTTTTTTTTTTTTTTTTTTTCGAGACAGGGCCTTACTCTGTCACCCAGGCTGGAGTGCAGTGGTGCAATCTTGGCTCACTGCAACCTCTGTCTTCCAGGTTCAAGTGATACTCCTGCCTCAGCCTCCTGAGTAGCTGGGACTACAGGCACGCACCAACCTGTGCAGCTAATATTTGTATTTTTAGCAGAGACAGGATTTCACCCTGTTGGCCAGGATGGTCTCGATCTCCTGACTTTGTGATCCACTCGCCTCGGCCTCCCAAAGTGCTGGGATTACAGGTGTGAGCCACTGTGCCCAGCCTAACTCTTTTTTTTTTTTTTTTAAGACAGGGTCTCACTCTGTCATCCAGGCTGGAGTGCAGTGGCACAGTCATGGCTCACAGCAATCTCTGCCTCCTGGGCTCAAGGAATCCTCCTACCTAAGCCTCTTGAGTGACTGGAACCACAGGCATTCACCACTGCACCCAGCTAATTTTTGTGTTTTTTGTAGAGACAGGTTTTTGCCATGTTGCTCAGGCTGGCCTCGAACTCCTGAGCTCAAGCAATTCACCTGCCTTGGCCTCCCAAAGTACTGGGATTATAGGAATGAGCCACCACATCCAACTGTCATTAATTCTTCTTTCTCCCTTTCTTTCCTTTCTCACTTTTCTCCTTCCTTCCCCCTCTCTCAGACTCACTGGACACAAGGAAGGGTCCTGTAGGTCTAATTCCAAGAGCCTTAGGAGAAGTGCTTTCTAGTAAGGTAAAAGAAGAAGAATATCTTAGGAAATCTGAAGTCTTGTTAATTTTCATGCTGCTTGTTGTATTGCCTTAGGTCATCTAACTTTTTACCAGAAAATTGAAATGAAAATATCAGAGGTTAATAAAGGAATCATTACTCAACAGCGGCAGTGGAATAAGACCTACATGGACACATAATAGCATAATAGTTGTACTCACATAGCTCTCTATTGCTTTACTTTTCATTTCTTCTAAAATGCAGATTAGGCTTATAATAAATGCTAGGATTTATTGAAGGTTGGCCATATGTAGTTGGCATTCTTCCTAATCTTTCATATTCATCAACTCATTTAACCCTAACAGTAACCCTATGAGAAACACATAATCTTCAAACCCCATTTTAAGAAAAGGAAACTGAGGCACAGAGAGGTTAAATAAGCTGTCCAAAGTCACACAGCTGGCAAGAGGTAGAGCTGGAATTCAAACTCAGGAGGCCTGGCCTGGTTCCAGAGCCTATTGTTTTTAACCATTAAACTAAACAGCCTGCCTTCACAGGGGCTCCTGGTCTTAACACACTGTCATAGTGAGGGATGAGGGGATATGTTTTAATTTTGTTAGTTTGAGCTATATCTGAATTTTGACCCATTGGGGCCCATTTAGGCTTAAGGGTCATTTAGTTCAGTCTCAGCAACTTACTGTTAAGTTGGAAGTTTCCACTTGGCAGGGCATGGATAGAATAATAAATGAAGTTGCGCCTCCTGTCAGTAACTGGAAGGGAATCTGTTGGAAGAAGAGGGGTTCCCGCAAGGCAAGTTTCTTCACCTTTAGTGCCTCAAGGCCCAGGCCTAGGGAGACGGAGCAAGGAAACAAGGAAGATGTTACCCATGCTTAGACCCTCAGGCTCATGCCTTGAGACTCAAATAAGCCTCAGCTAAAAACAGGCAAGTGTATCTTAGTCCTCTTCTGGTCCTCACCTATTTCTCTCCATTTCCACCCTAACAGGAGAGAAGCTTCTTGAAGGGCAGGTGATCCAGCTTGAGGATGGGACCACCGCATACATTCACCAGGTGACGGTACAGAAAGGTGAGGGCACCACAACATACCATGCCTTGTGGAGGGAAGCCTGACAGCTCCACCAGGGGACCCTTCCATGGCACTGAGCTCCAGGGAAAGGCAGGCATTGCTTTCGTTACAGAATCTCTCTCCTTTGAGGATGGTCAGCCTGTGCAGCTGGAAGATGGCAGCATGGCTTACATACACCGCACACCCAAAGGTAGGGTCACCATCATCACAACTGGGGGAAGGACGGGAGGAAGGACTGGAGGATGGGGTAGCACACTGTGAGGGTTGGGGTGTAGACATGGGAGCTGTCATCTCCACGGTACACACACACTCACCTGGATTAGCAGCCTTGCCCACCTTCCCTGCTGCAGACTGCAGAAGCAGCTATGTCTGCCACTAGGAGGTGAGCCTTGGAGATCAGTCACATAGGCTTTGATGGTGGCCTTGGCTCCAGCACAGCCACAAAGTCTTAGGGCTTTGGGGCAGGACCTGAGGAGATCATCCAAGACCAGGAGAAAAAACTAATATTTAAGAATGAAGCTCCTAAGGTGCTGAAGAATAACAATTTATTCCTTTTACTGATAGTTTCTTAAGTGACTGTTACATGCCTGGCATTGTGTTAAGTGTGGAGTATACAAGAGAGAGCAAAGTCAGATACAGCCCTTGCTCTCCTGGAGTCTAGAGGGGGAAATAGAAGTGAAAGAAGCCATCAGTGATGAACTGATCATTACAAACAGAGATCAGGCTCAGGAAGGGCTTCTCTGAGGAAGCGATGCTTGAGCTGAGAGGTAAAGAATGAGGTAGACATAGCTGACAGAAGACAGATGGGAGGGAGGGTTCAGTACTTCAGGCAGAAGGAACAGCATGTGTAAGCCTAGAGCTGGCGGGAAGAAAGAACAGCACATTCCAGGAACTGCTAGGAGCTAGAGCCCTGGGAGTGAGGGCAGAATGAGCAGGAGGAAGCTGGAGAGAGAAAGGAAGGCCAGCCCACTCTAGGTTTCAGCATCAGGGTGAGGATTTTGGTCTTTATCCTGAGACCAGTGGTAAGCATTTGAACTATTTAGGCAGTTAAGTGACATGGTCACATTTCTGGCCTGCAAAGATCCCTCTGGTTATTGTGCTGCCTGGAGGGAACTAGAGGGGTGAGGAACGACTGGTCAGCAGACTTTTGTGATCTTCTATGCCAAGATGATGATGGGCCCCTGTCAGGTCCTCAAGGAACTTGTGATTTCCCATTCAGTGCACCGTAGGAGACCTCATCCTTAGGTGAGGCAGCCCCAGAAGGAGGTCCAGCAAGAGTGAATCACAAAGTGAAGGGCCAGGAGAAATTGGATGCTGAAACCCTCCTTGGTATATGTGCCTCTCATTAACTTAAGGCTAGGGTCCCAGCTGTATCTTTTCCCTTGTGTGGCATCAGGGCTAACCGCGTGTTCCCTGCAGAAGGCTATGACCCCAGCGCCCTGGAAGCCGTCCAGCTGGAAGATGGCTCCACTGCCTACATTCACCACCCTGTGGCTGTGCCATCAGACAGTACCATCCTGGCTGTCCAGACAGAGGTGGGCTTGGAGGACCTGGCGGCAGAGGATGATGAGGGCTTCAGTGCAGACACAGTGGTGGCCCTGGAGCAGTATGCCAGCAAGGTGAGCACACAGAGCCTGACACTGTCTGTCACTCTCTAAACAACGGGACCTTGCTTGCGCACTGCCTCTTGGCCCTGTCAGAACTTCACCTCGCTAGAAGACAATGGCAGCCCTGTGCTCAGGCACCATGTGGGATATTCCCTTTGCTCCTCCACCCCAGCTCCCCCAACTCACCTTTCCCACGTCATTGTTTAGGGCATGCAACACAACCTGGCCTGGTCGCTGACAGCTGTTTATGCTCACCCTTGTTTACACTGTCTCTGCAGAGGGAAGGCTGCCATAAGAAACAGTGATACCCCTATGCTGGGGAGTTAGGCCCAGCTTCACTTTGGCTGCTGTAGTAATCCTCTGCACTAGCTGGGAAAGCCCTTGCTGGTGACTTTTATTAGCTTTCTAGTCCACTGAGGTAACTATATTTATTTCTTCTCTGTGACTCACTTAGTCATTGGAAAAATAACCTCAGTGGGCCATGACAAGGGCATGGGCAGCAGAGCAGCTAGGATTCCTGGATTATGAGGTCCACACAGTAGCTCAGCTGGAAAGGAGAAGGATCCTGGCTCTGCAGATACCAGTTAGTCCAAGTTTTTTCTGCTGGAACCATGGCCTTGCCTGCAGGGAAGTGGGTACAGAGATCTCTGAGCTTTCCAAACCAGGGTGTTCCCTTCCTGGGATGACTGCAAAGCCTCAGGCTGGGTGTGCCAGGGCTTCCTGCACATTCCATCCTTCCAGCAGTTTTACCCAAAGTTGGGGGAGTTTTTTTTTTATATATGTAATGAAATCAGTGTGGTTGATGGTGGGGGAAAAGAAGAAGTCTTCATGTGTTTTCAAAATGAAACACAGGCTGAGTGCAGAGGTTCATGCCTGTAATCCCAGCACTTTGGGAGGCTGAGGCAGGTGGATTGCTTGAGTCCAGGAGTTTGAGACCAGTCTGGGCAACATGGGGAAACCCCATCTCTCCAAAAGAATACAAAAACAAACTAGCTGGGCATGGTCATGTGCACCTGTGGTCCCAGCTATGGGAGGCTGAGGTGGGAGGATCAGGAAGTAGTGATTACAATCAGCAGGCTACATTCACTCCCATCCCAGTTCTCTAAGGTATGTTTTACAGACCAAATTTGAGACTTGATGCTGATATATAGAGAAGTGGGTTTTATTTAAATCATGAGCCCTGAGATCTGTGCTGGCTCTACCGCCACCTAGTCCAAACTTGGGGGAGTCCCTGCTCTCCCAGACCTCAGCTTATTCCTAATATGAGATGGGACCAGATAATCTCAGAGGTCACTTCCATCCCTGATTTTCCTTGATTCCTGTGATTACCCCAGGAGCTAGTGAGAGATGGGAATGAAATCCAAGTGCCTGTGTGGGTTAGCCCACCAAGCAGGCCTGGCCACCTCTGACCCTACTCTCTATCCAGCCTCTTAAGCGTCCACGAAACTCTCAGCTGCTTGAGCCCCTGAGCTGGAACCTGCATAGACAGACCTTGCCATGAATTTGGCCTCGCTCCTCTGTCCCCTGCTCACCATGACTTGCACAGTTTAGTTTTAGGATCTCCTGGAAAGACCAGAGTGTGATTCTGAAGCTTTCCAGAAAGAAAGACTAAGTGACAGCTGGGCGTGGTGGCTCATGCCTATAGTCCCAGCACTTTGGGAGGTGGAGGTGGGTGGATCACGAGGTCAGGAGTTCAAGACCAGCCTGACCAATATGGTGAAACCCCATCTCTACTAAAAATACAAAAATTAGCCGGGCATGGTGACATGTGCCTGTAGTCTCAGCTACTCAGGAGGTTGAGGCAGGAGAATCACTTGAACCTGGGAGGTGGAGGTTGCAGTGAGCCGAGATCGTACCATTGCACTCTAGCCTGGGCAACAGAGCAAGACTCCATCTCAAAAAAAGAAACAAACTAAGGGACAGTCCTACCAGGACCCTGCCCAGGAAAGCAGAAGAGCAATAAGGGGCTCCCTGCATCCAGGGGCTGGTATGAGATGGGCGGCTTTAGCAGTAGCCCCAGATGAGGAGACAAAAGGAGAGGACTTGTCAGCTGGGTGCTGTCATTAGAGCTGACATTTCTGTGGGAACTGCAGCCCTCCCCTGGGTGCTTCTGGTCATGGCCACCTCACTCTGGGCCCCATGTCCTATCAGGTGAACCTAGGTGAGCTCATCTCCACAGAAATAGCCCCCTTGTTATGTACCTTTTAAGCACTGGTTTTCTACCAGGAGGGAGACCCCTCCCATCAGAAGATGGAGGTCTCAAGAGTTGCAGGCTCCTAGGTGTGTGTGCTTAGAAGGAGGGTTTCTGGCACTTGGCCCAGTTCAAGCATGGCCATTCAGAAAAACTCCCTTTCCACCTTACCTAGCTGTCTAGGAGATAGCTTTTCTTTAATAGCTGTCACAGCCACTATGACCTGTAGGTCTCTCTTTAACCCATCAGAGATGGGTGGTGACTCCCCATGCCTACCCTCTTCTTGGGTAGCATGCCCCAGCATCTGTTCCTTGTCTGTCTGGATGTGTTCTTCTGCCCCAGAGACCCCTGGCAGCCTTAACCCTGCGTATTGGGTCTTAAGCTGCCTGCAGGGCTCTGTGTCCCACCTTCTTCACTGGGGAGAATACGTATAGGGATCTTAAGGTTTTTCTCCCAGGTTCTTCATGACAGCCAGCCTCCCCATAATGGAAAAGGGCAGCAAGTTGGAGACAGAGCATTCCGCTGTGGCTACAAGGGCTGTGGGCGTCTCTATACCACCGCTCATCATTTAAAGGTAAGGATGCTGGCAGACAGCCCTCACTTCTGCAGTCTTCCCTTCCAGGCTGTAATTCTGCCTTTCGGCTTTGATTGAAATTGGTCCCTTCCCTCAAGTTGCTGGAGGGAAGAAATGAGGGTACACAGGAAGGTCAGCACAGAGGGCTTGACACACATGACATCAGGGCCCTAAAGAAAACAAAAGAGCCCAGGTCATACCCTTGCAACTCTGAATTATGTGATTGTTTGTCCTCACAGGTGCATGAACGAGCTCATACAGGTGACCGTCCATACAGGTGTGACTTCCCCAGCTGTGGAAAGGCCTTTGCCACAGGTAACCTCTCTGAGGGGCTGCTTCCAGTTGAGGGTAGAGGGTTCTAGTTCTATTTGGAGTCTCCCTGAAGGGAACCCAACACCAGGCTGCCTTCCTGGAGAAACTACCGTCAGAGTCCTCTGACTTGCAGGGTGCTCTCTCTGGAGGAAACCTTGTTATGGGAGTGAAAGGCAGCATGGTTCAGGCCAGCAGAAGGAGCCTGGAGGGTTGGTGGAGAGACCCAGCCTCTTGTGTCAGCTCTGATGCCAACCAGCTGTGGATTATTGGGTGGGCCGTTGCATCTCTCGCCCTATTTTCCCCTTTGTGAAACTAGGACCTTTAGCCATGAGTTCTCCTAAGTTTCTTCTTATGCTCATGTTCTGGTGTGGTTTCAGCTGCCCCTTGAGAGGGAAGCAGGGCAGAGTTGGCTTTTCTAGCCTCCACCCAGGCAGCGGTGGGATAGAGGCAGACATGGGCTTCTTGAAGCAAAGGAGATAGAGCACCTCTGTATGAAGTGAATGGCGGAGGATGAGGCCCCACCGGGTGCTCTTCTTACACCTCCCTGCCACATGTGGACAGGCTATGGACTGAAGAGCCACGTTCGTACCCACACTGGTGAGAAACCATACAAATGCCCAGAGGAGCTGTGCAGCAAGGCCTTCAAGACCTCAGGAGACCTGCAGAAGCATGTCCGTACCCACACTGGTATGCTGGGCCCTGCCCACTCCAACCCCATTCCCTGGGCACGGGGAATTCAGCTTGCCTTTCAGACTTAGACTTGGAGCCCGGCTCCATCCCCTTCTTGCTCCAGCATGGTCCTCTTTCCTGAACCACCCCTCACACCCCACCATTTGCATAGGTGAACGCCCGTTCCGGTGCCCTTTTGAGGGCTGTGGCCGCTCCTTCACCACGTCTAATATCCGCAAGGTACATGTGCGCACCCACACAGGCGAGCGGCCCTACACCTGCCCGGAGCCCCACTGTGGCCGAGGCTTCACCAGTGCCACCAACTATAAGAATCACGTGCGCATCCACACAGGTGGGCCAGCTGGCATGCGAGGACTACCCTCGCTGAGGCCCCAACCCCTCTACTGTAGGCTTCCCATCTAAGTCACATTCTCAGCTCTCAGCCCAGAACCCTCTGTGCCAGCCATTCCAGGCTGGTCTGGGGGTGCGGTATCCCCGGAACAATTCTTTCACTTGCAGCAAGCAGTTCCTCCATTTCCAGTTAGGTCCAATCTGAAAGGTATTGCCTGTCCTCTCGGGCCCCTCAGCTCCCTGCCACCTCTCTACACCCACCTTGAATTCTCCAACTCTGACTGAGCTCCTGAAAAGAGGCCAGGGTTGGGAATGACAGGGAAGAAGCAGAGTGAACTGTCACCTTCAACTCCTCACCTTATCCACCGTCCATGACTCCTTTGTATCCTCACCCTCCCCAGTGTTGTGTCCCTCATCCAGCTGTCCGTGTTGTTTCTTAGCATGTGTGTCCCTTCTCTCCCATCATACCTGATACTTCAGTCATCCCTGCCTCTTGCCTCTACTGTTCACCACTCTCAACCTCCCACCCTTCACCTTATAAGCCCCAGCGCCCCTACCACTGCCTTCACTAGCCCCAGCCTTGCCCTGTCCCTCATTACCTTTCCGCCTTGTCTCTGAATTCAGTAGTTCAACACCCATGCCCTCTCCATTCCACTGGCCATCTTCCCCAACCCTGTCCATTTAGAGTCTCAGTTCTCAGTCCCTCTCCCTCCCTCTGGCTCTCCCTTCACCAACCCTGTCCCTCACCCCTGTCCCCTTAGTTTTCCCCTTGCCAGCCCCAGTTCCCAACCCCCTCACAGCCCAGTGTCCCCAGGGGAGAAGCCATACGTTTGCACGGTGCCAGGCTGCGGGAAACGCTTCACCGAGTACTCAAGCTTGTATAAGCACCACGTGGTGCACACACACTGCAAGCCCTACACCTGCAGCACCTGCGGCAAGACCTACCGGCAGACCTCTACCTTGGCCATGCATAAGCGCAGCGCCCATGGTGAGCTGGAGGCCACGGAGGAGAGCGAGCAGGCCCTCTATGAGCAGCAGCAGCTTGAAGGTAAGGGGAGTGGGCAGGGGGTAAGAGTGGGGACAAGCCAGGCCTCCCCATGCCATCTGGTAGCAGGTGTCAGCCTTGGCTCTCCTCTCCCAGCCGCCTCTGCAGCCGAGGAGAGCCCACCACCCAAACGACCCCGCATAGCTTACCTTTCGGAGGTGAAAGAAGAGAGTGATGACATCCCAGCCCAAGTGGCCATGGTGACCGAAGAAGATGGGGCCCCCCAGGTGGCCCTGATCACTCAGGATGGTGCCCAGCAGGTACAGGCCCTGGAGGGCAGAGGTGCCACACTTGCTGGCACTCTCCACTTTCTTTGGGGACTCTGAGAGACCGGAAGTTCTGACAGCCCCACTGCCACCCAGCTTCCTGTTTCAGTTTTATAGACCTCGGCTGAGGCTGCGGGGACCACATCTTGTAACAGAGGTCCTCGCCCTCCTATGTTTCCAGACCAGTCTCTGGGACTTCTGGAGCAGTTAGTAGTTTCTCTCTTTACTAGGGAGCTGACAGGACCTGTTCATCTGAATGGGACATGGGATGTCCTTCTCAAGAGAGGCATGTTCATATAGCAGCCAGAACATGGTATGGGGTCTGAAAGCCTGAGGTCTGGTCCTACCAGTGTACTAGCCAGCTGCATAACCTGACCCTTGTCAGTACCCTCACTAGAAAGTACACCCGTGCTTTCCAGAGTTGTCAGGACACAATCAGGTGGTGACCCTGAGCTGCATACAACAGGGCCCAGAGGCAAAGTGGTGATAAATAGAAGTAAGCTGTGGAATTCTTCTAGTATGGCCTCTCTTTGGAACCTTGGACACATTTTGTTTGCTTGTCACTCACCCCTTCCACCCCTGTGACATGAAACTAATAAGCTGACCTTGCCTGGGAGAGCAGGTATATCTTCCAGAGGGACTTTCAGACAACCCTCCACTGACATTGCCAGCTCATCTTTCCCCTCCTGTTGGCAGGTCAGCCTATCCCCGGAAGACCTGCAGGCCCTGGGGAGTGCCATCAGTATGGTCACCCAGCACAGCAGCACCACCCTCACCATCCCCAGTCATGATGCCGACCTGGCCACATCTGGCACACATACGGTCACCATGGTCAGCGCCGATGGCACCCAGACGCAGCCCGTATGACCAGGCGGTTTGCTTGGGGTTTCTTATTCTCTTGTCATTCCTTTCCATGGGGTAGGCATTAAAGTGCAGTCTAAACTAGTCAAGTCTTCTTACCAGGACAAAGATGCCTCACAAAAAAGGGGTCTTCCCCACAGTTCCTGGGCCATCAGCAGCTCTCATCTTTAAAAGCAGTTGAATGGAGGTCAAGAGACACTTCCTAAATCTCAACTGAAACCTAATTTGTTTTGCAACCTTAGACAAATCACTTTTCCATGAACTTCTGTCTATTTTCAAGTGAGGGGATTAAAATATCTCTGGAATTTTTGACAGCTCTGTTCTTCTATGATTGAAAAGCCCTAAATTAAACTGGGTATTAAGTTGGGAGCAAACCCAATCTTACTTAGCTCTGAGCCCCAAGCTAATTAATGTGACCCATATGGTTTTATCCATTCTCTTCTGGGTAGTTCCCAGCACCTTACTTGTAGGGATTTTTATCTGGATTGTGGGGAGGGAGAGTATACTGCAGGTGGGATGGAAGACCTTCTTTTGCCTTTCAGGTCACAATCATTACCTCTGGGGCTGTGGTGGCTGAGGACTCAAATGTAGCATCTCTTCGTCATCAACAGGTGGCACTGTTGGCCACAGCCAATGGAACGCACATTGCAGTGCAGGTGAGTAGAGATCTGGGAGGAAAGGGGATCCCACTACCAGAGAAGGCCGCAAGGAATAAAGGGGAACTAGATGACGATCTGGAAGGGAAGGGCATCTGACTCAAAAAGAGCCCATTTCAGAGGACAGATCCCTTTCCTCCTGCATCCATGCATCTGTGAATGTCGAAGCCTCTTCCAGCCTTCAGGATAGCTCTTATGTCAGTCTGCCTGTGGTCTGAGCCCTGCATCTCTTTGTTTCTGTTTCTTCATCTGGAAAATAAGGAGGCTGAAGTAGACAATCACTACAGTCCTCCTCAGCCAGTCCTTCCATGAGCAAGCTGGTCTCTCTGACCCTGACTATTCTAGGGACCCCTGGCCATGCCTAGCCTAATAGGACTCTTCATCCCTGAACTTCATGTTTATTGGAGCCTTACTAAGTGCTCAGTGTGTGGCACTGGGTAGATGGTAGAGAGTCAAAAAATAAAAAAAACAGTAGGCCACATACTACTAACACTGGAATCTAGGCAGGGAGGGTCTCAGTCTCTCCTTCCTTCTGCACCCCCTTCCCCACAGCTGGAGGAACAGCAGACCTTAGAGGAGGCCATCAGCGTGGCCACCGCAGCTATGCAGCAAGGGGCCGTGACCCTGGAGACAACAGTGTCGGAGAGTGGCTGCTGAGTCCAAGAGGGCTGGGTCCCACACCATGTTGGAGGAGGTGCAATGCTGCATGGCCAATATTGCCTCCAAGGGCCCAGGCTGTGGCTAACACATGGAAGGTGGCCACATAGGTCTCTGGGGTGAGAAGACAGCAAGAAAACGGCCTAACTGAAGGGAATGGGGGCCCTGCCCAAGAGTGGGGACAGGCAGCTGGAATCAGGGGAGTGCGTCATCCTCGGGAGCTGAGAACAAGCCTCATTGCCAGGCTACACCAGGACACCCTTCTCTCAAAATCAGCTGGGTGCCTGCTCTCCTCCTCCTAAAGAACACCCTTCTGGCCCTCAGTCTGCTCCCCTTCTCAGGTAGAGATTGGGGCTGCTGTGGGGACTGGCCCTCTAGGGGAGAGCCACAGACAGCTCTTCAGCCCAGTAGCAGCGGAGCAGGCCCTGGCCTTCCCTCCCAGCAATAACCACCTCCCTGGAGGCCAGTTGAGATGCCTGCCTAGTTGGCATCAGGGACTTCCTGCCACCACAGTCAATTAATTCCTCAGGGGCCTGTGGCTGGAGAAAAGGTGCCCAGCCCCCACCACTCCCCAGCTGCTTCCCAAACCTCTCTATGGCAGAGATTCAGGGAGTGGCCCTGTATATAGACTGCTGGGGATTGGGTTTGATTTGTTTTTTGTTTTGTTTTTTTAAATTCCATTTTGATAATTTTTTTTCCCGCTCTGGGTGGTGGCGGCACATGGATGAATGAGTATTTAATAAAAGTTTCAAATTTCCACCTGGGTCCCTCTGTCCTTTCAGCTCTAAGCCTGAGTGGCAGGGTTGGTCAACTCAGGCTCTCAGCCCTGTATCCCTGGCCCAAACCCACTCAGCCTTGGTGCCAGAGTGGTGGGGCTGGCCTGCTGGGGGGACAGGTGGGAGGGAAGCCCAGTATAAGATAAAGCCCTGAGGAGCTGCTTGTGGATTCTTGCCCACAGCTGAGCAGGTGGGCTCCAGGGTGGCTGCTGCTTCCAGGCTCTGGCTGAATCTCAGGCCTCAGGTGATTGATCTGGAGGAACTCTTTTCCTGCCTTTTCTTGTGGAATGTAGTCAGAGCTCCTCCAACCCAGCCACCCCCAAATCACACAGTCAGAGTGACTTCTTGGAGAAGTCAGCTCCTCCAAGAGGGCAAAGCCCCAGGTTAGAGTGAGGCTAGAGGGTACCTTTGCCAAGGTTACTGAGGTTCAAGGAGTAGAGTCAGATGCCTCTGGAGCTGAAGTCTTGTCTCTATTACCCAGCTCTGGGGGTGCCCAACTAGGTATCTAGGACTATGCTGTGGGATTTCAAAGCCACAGTCAGACCCCACTGAAAAGTAAGTTGGTGAGACCAGATCAGCTCTGGTGGGAGAAAGGGATACAGGGGAAGGCACTTGATGGGAAGAAGCTCTGGGTTTGAGTCTGCCTGGCCAGGAACATTGCAGGGATTGGAAGTGCCTTTTTTCCTCTCTCTGCCGTGATGGATATGCCCCAACCCCTTCCTGCCTCCTAGGCTTTAAAACCCTTCCTCCGATCCAAGCATCTTCTCCTAGGATGCCTAGAAAGCTCCCATTTACTCTTGCCACCAGCTCCTTGGGAAGAGGGCACTGGCATGCTTCTAGGCAGAGGGTATTCCCAGCACCTTACTTGGAGGGATTTTTATTGGGATTGGAGGGTGGCGGGGGGGGGAGATGTCTCAGAATTGGCCTGAGCAGTTGTCTTCAACATCCGTGACCACCATTCCTGGTGTGGTGTATCCCAGTCCTCTTGGGCACTGGATCTGAAGAAATGGAAGCACTGACATGGAGGCCCCTGAATCCCAAGCCTGCTGCTGCCGGACCCTTGAAGTTGAGGTGCATCACAAGTCTCACTCCCACATATTTTAGAAAGTTTCCAGTGTCTTCAGAGCCACTGGGCCTAGAGTGGGCAGTGTTCAGACTGCCTTTGAGCCAATGCTGAGGGGATAGGGAACCAGCAAGTGAAGTGCCACATCCGCCTGACCTGGGAAGGTGCCCTGGCCCAATTCCTTCTCCAGCTTTGTGATGCTGCCTTTGTTTCCTTCTACTCGAATGGAGCCCCACCACCATGGTAATGTTAGGTGGCACCAAAAGCTCTACCCAGAACCTACGATGTGCTTTACGTCCATCCTCAGGCATTCTTACAACACAGAGGCATTTTTCCTGCTTTACCAATGAGGAAACTGCTCAAGGAGGTCCAGTAACTTACCCAAGGCCTCCTGTGCAGTAAGTGTGGAACTAGGACTGGACCTTTAGTCTGTCTGACTCAAGTATCAGAATGAGCTTTCTTTATCTCTCAGTGAGCTGCTTCTGGGAGCCCCAGAAGGCTCCAGAAGGCTGCAGGGCTGAGGAGGCTTCTAAAAGGGCCTCACATGCCCAGGGAGCGAGGTGGATACAGACCAAGGGTTCCTGCTTTCAGAGAGTTGGTCCCCAGTTCCTATGCAGGGAATAGAGCTGAGCACTGCCAGAGCAATAGGCAGGGTTCCCGCCAGCACGGAGCCTCACGGAGTGAGCAGGCAGGTGGAGCTCTCGCTCCACCACGGCCCCTCTGCGGTCTCTGCAACCGTTTGCATTTCCTGAAACCGGATCTTGGTGTCAGAGCCGCCCCCAGCCAGGCAGGCGCCTCAGCCATGGCCCTGCGCAAGGAACTGCTCAAGTCCATCTGGTATGCCTTTACTGCGCTGGATGTGGAGAAGAGCGGCAAGGTCTCCAAGTCCCAGCTCAAGGTGAGGGGCACCCGGGTCCCAGGGGAGGACGGCAGATGCACCACACTGGCCCCTGCTGCCTGGGAGCCCAGTGTGGACATTGTGCCACTCCAGGGGCACCCAGCCATCCAGCGTCCCAGACCTGGGGTTGGGGGTGGCTGGTCCTGGGTAACTGGGCCAATATAGCCTGGTAGATACCGCTGCCCACCCTCCAGAGGCCCTAGTGAAGTGTGTACAGAAACCTTGCTCAGAACTTGGCCCCCCAGGTGGAGGCCAGGGGTTTCTGAGGTCCAGGAGCCAGGCCATATCCCAGGCTCCGTGTGATGAGTACACACATCTCGAGTCATGCTTGGGCACGCAGTCTGCTCTTTCTTGCCGCTTCCTCCTGACTTTTAAGAGAAACAGTTAGCTAGTACTTGGCAGTCATTTCCTCTGGAGCTGAGAGAGGCATAAAGGGACCTCCCCCAGTCCCGAACTGGTCTGGTCTGCCTAACCCTTCCCCCAGGTGAGACAGAGCTGCGGAGTAGGGGAGGACTGAGGACCCTATTACACTGCTACGCTGAGCTCACCCCCTATCCTCCACACATATCAGGTTGGGAAACTGTTACCTTAGGCCTTGAGACCTCAGGTAGGGAAGGAGTGGAATCTAAGCCCAGGAAAAGCCCCATCAATGATTGTCCTGAAGTCGATCATCTGGCCTAGACAATTTCCGGGAGGCCAAGGAGTTTTTCTCTCTCTTCCTCTAGTCCTCCGTTAGTGCTGCCTTCACTACCCTAGTTGGTGGAGAGGAAGCAAGGCCCTTAGCTACTAGAATCAGCAAATGCTGGGGGAAGGAAAGGAGCAAGATAGGCCTCAGCTCTCTAGGACCTGCCGTAGGGGTGCCTTCATTCACTCTGTGCATACTTGACTGAGTGCCCCTCATGAGGCTCTGTGCCTGCCATGTGGCTAGGTACTGGACTCCTGGTGTCTCCCTTGTGCCATCCTCCAGAGTCTCAAGGAAACCTCCGTTCTTAATGACCGAGGTAGAAGGTGCCTGGATACCTGAGAGATGAATGGGACAGAATAGTTATTGTGCCCCACTACCGTTCCAACCCCCTACTTTACTGAACTTGGACATGAGGAACTAGGATATCCCAAACTGGTCCTATGTTACAATTCCTTACCCAGATTTGTGAGCATCTGATAGATGATTTTTCACTCCCCCAGGAAGGAGAGCCTGCTACAATCTTTTGTCATGTGGGGAGACCCTCCCAACAGGCAGATTCTTCTTTACATCCTATTTAAATCCCTTTTATTGCAGATCATGTCATCTGGTTGGGTACTCAGTATAAATGGAAAAAAGTTGATCATCCAAAATCCATTTCTGCTGACTCTGTGTCCCACCCCTACTTCCCACCCTGCCCCTTTAATATCTTGCCAGACAATACCAGCCCCCATGGCTTTTTGCTTCCAGGATACCATTTTCCACCTCTGCATTACCTGTGGCTGCTGAGACCTCTCCAGGCTCTCTCTTTCCTTCACACATGGAAGATAACAGCCCTTAAGTGGCTCCCTTTTTCCTAATGCCATCAGCTGGTAAAGCCTCCTAGCTTGAGCCTCCATCTTGGCCTCTAGCTGGGCCACTACCCACTTCCTCACTCCCACAGGTTGTGTATTTCTAGGGGAAATGCTCCATGGAGAGCTTGCAGGCTTGAACTGTCCACTGTCTGTACCTCATCACAGCTCATATTGAGCCTACTGCCAGCAACGTCTCTGGTCATGCATGACCAGTAGTGGAGTTCACTCCTACTTGACAAAAAACTTGTCTACTCTGGAAACCTGGGCTAACAGTGGGAGTGTCAGGGGCCAAGTGAGGATGGGGCAGAAATGGCAGGGCTCCTTTCAAGCCCATAATAGTGAATATTGGAATGGGAGGAAGTAGTCATAGTGTTAGGGGTGGGGATTCCAGCAAGGCAAAGGAGTAATAGAGAAGTGGTCAGAAGGCAGAGGAGGAAGCAGATGAGAGAGTTATACAAGCAGGGCCCACCCCTCCCCTGAAAAGACTTAGGGGTGAGGGAAAAGACCTTGGAGTCAATCTGGTTTTTTGTTGTTGTTGTTTTAGAGATGAGAGATGAGGTCTTGCTCTGTCACCCATGCTGGAGTGCAGTGGTGCAATCAGAGCTCAGTATAGCCTCAAACTCCTGGGTTCAAGCAATCCTCCTACTTCAGTCTCCTGAGTAGCCAGGACTACAGGCACATGCCACCACACCTGGCTAATTTTGTTTATTTTTTGTTTGAGCCTGAGTCTCAGTATGCTTCCTCGGCTGGTTTCAAACTCCTGGCCTCAAGTGATCCTCCTGCTTCTGCCTCCTGAGTAGCTGGAATTATAGTCTTGAGCCACCTCGCTGGGCTGGTTACTAAAACCGTCCCTAGCCTTGGGGTCCTGGGTTGGGACCTGGCAAGAGACCTGTGCCAGTCCAGGGCAAGATGTGTCGGTGTATGAATTTGCCACTTCTCCCCTGATGTGTTGGTAGAGGGACTGCCAGTGGCTGTCCTGGGTAAACCCATGATGAGGCCAGACAGTAGGAGGAAGAACAGTGCGTCCTCCGAGAAAAGCCCAAGGAGTAGGGTTGTTTCTCCTGGAGAAGAAAAGGCTCAAGGGAAAAACCAGATACTCCTGGCCGGGTGCTGTGGTTCATGCCTGTAATCCCAGCACTTTGGGAGGCTGAGGCAGGAGAATTCCTTGAATCTAGGAGGCAGAGGTTGCGGTGAACCGAGATCACGCCACTACACTCCAGCCTGGGCAAAAGAGTGAGACTCTATCTCCAAAAAACAGATACTTCTTCCTCTCTTTAAATCTTTGTAGAAAGTATAATGGCTTCATCCAGTTGGCTTAAGAACAGAGAAAGTAAACCAATAGGAATGGCACTCCTGACCAGGATGGATTTAGGTTGAACACAAAACTTCCCAGGACTTGAGGGCTGTGAGTTTTTGTAAGGTTCCCCTAACCACCTCTAAAAACCTTTAGAAGGTAGCAATCCTGACAGAGGGCTGTAGAGAGGGG